CAATTGTAAAAAATTAAGAGATGTTCCTTGAATCTAAAGCTGTTTGACATTAAGGAGATTTACAATACTTCATATTAGACTTGTTCAGTCACATTTCTGTTAAGATAGTGCTTTAAATACTAGAAACCAAACTATGTTGGGGCTCCAGAAATTCCTAAGAATACGTAATGCTTTTGCCGCTGTTTTTTTAAATGTAGGGAAGGGTACAGTATTCTACATTAATGACAAAACTAATTTATTTTGATTGAAGCAGGGACAGGCTGCAGTTTAATGGACTGGTTTTGTGTTGTTCAAATGTGCATTTTACTTACTTGAACTGTTGTGACAGTAAACATGTACAAGCACTTCCAAGACTGGGTCCACTCACACTGAAGGGTTTCTCCATTTAGGGAGGATTTTTAAGCATTTCTGGACCCCCAAAAATGCCCAGTCCAGTGAACAGCAGTGTCCTAGGCTCTGACCTCCGGCACCTATGTGCTTTACCATCTTCCCTTTGTTTGGGTGGTGCTGTGAACTTTAAGTAGGGGTTCACCTCTTCAATGCAAACACAGATTGAAGAATTATTCCTTCTGAATTTTCATCTTTGAAAGCTTCACTGAGTAATTGCCTCCTTCAAACACTTAAGTATACTTCTGCTGTCATTTTAAGATAGCTTTTAAACATGAAGAAAAGTGAAGTGGACCTAACACCTGCACTAGGAAGCACAGCCATGACAATCCTTGTTCCCACAGATCTATTACTGATAATTCCTCTTACAATATTGTTTGTTCAGAAATAGTGGAAAAGTTCTTCTTTAAATTATTGCAATAATAAAAATCTATTTTTGTAAAGATGTTTCTTCTTATTTATTTTTTTTAAACAAGATGTTTTCCAGAAGCAAAATGCTTTATATGCTATCCAACATCTGCCTGCAAAATTAGCAGAGGAAACAGAGTTGCCTCAGACAAAATGTTCCATTTCTACTATGCATCCTAGCTTATCTATAAAAAGTTCTAAGATAAAAATATTAGAACTTGTCAAACACTCAAAATACTAAGCCAGTTTAAAAATACACTTCAAGGTTCCAAATATCAGTATAGTTCTTTTCTAGCTGTTCCTGAGGTTGTGACCGTTACTTACTGCTCTGTCCAGCCAGAGGTCTGTCATGACTTGTAGTAGATAAAAGCTTGTAAATTACAGAGCTTTGTGTCAGACCTTCTTCAGATATCACCAGCATCCCCTAGTCCAGCCAGAAGGAATATTTATGGAACCAGAGTAACCTATCATTTCACATTACAGAGGGTATCAAATTTTGGGCATCTGTGAAAAAAACATCATATTTAAGTAGAAGTAAAATACTACCACAAATTTATAAAATATTTAAGGAAAGTTATGTAGCTGTTTTTATAGTAAATCACAGGGCAATTTGTATTGGGGACAGAAAAATCACAGGACTATTTTCCAGTTATTTTTTCTAAATAAGAGGTATGCTTCTCAAAATTCAGACAGGCCTTCCTTCTTTCTGCCCTACACTATGTTCCTCAAGCTGACGTACAACTTCAGTCAAACAATCCTGTAGAACAGACTCCTTTCCTGAAAATACAGTTGTTAATTCCATCCTAACTATAACATCAAAGCAGAAAGCAACTGTTCCCTTCAATCTACTCTGTTTTTCAGCAGTGCCTATCTTACATATTCAAGCTAAACACTTGATTTAGAAGACCTGGTCTCTGCTATAAATCCTTCCTGATATAATACTTCAAAGAATCACAATCCTAACTGACATTTTTATACCAGCAGAAGGAGACTTTATATTTCATTTAAGAAGCTGGGAAAGTTACAGTGGAAGAAAGTCTTTCGCTGATACAAATTGTAGCTGTATTGCAGATTTTGCTAATTCAGGGGTAGTGACAAGTCAAGCTAGAATTGCGTTTATTAGAGGGAAAAGACCAGTATGCACTAAAGGTACAGCCAAAGTTATTTTATTCTGAATGGAGATACCCTACAGTCAATCCATGCCAGAGTTATAGACATAAAAACATCAGGATATATTTGAATCAGGTCTCAGAAGTATTTTAAATGGCATTAGCTACCACAACTTAAAAACAAGGACCAATTTTGTTCTGCCTGTGTTTACCCCATAGGTGGCACCTAAAGTAATCTGCACAGTTCAGCTGTAAGCTCCTGAACTCTTATGAGTGAAGCTACATGTATGTTCAGAGGCAAGACAGAGGCAGCTAGCACCTTGAACATTCCTCTGGGAGCAGGTTTTACTACTGGAATGAACACTTTACATAGCAGCACTCCAGCCATTTAAAGAATCTATCTTCACACTACTACTTAGATCTAGGCAACAGTCTTCTGATTAACACTTAGGAAGAAAATATGCCTTCTCCTTGCTAATGGAAACTGCTTCGGGGTCTTTTCCTAGTATACCACCATTAAAAACCCTCTGTTGGAAAGGAAGAAGGATGGGCTGATCAAAAAGCAGTAAAAGTTCTGGATTCCTCCTGCTCATGTTGTTATTTTTACATAGCCCTGGAAGCCACAGGCACTACAAAGTCTTTTTTCCTCCCAAGGAAAAAATAGTTGAAAAAATGTGCAAATTTCCCAGGTAGCTGAGGCAATCCCGAGTAAATGAAACGATTCCTTTCAATGTTTAAGGAACGTTAGCCTAAATCTTAATTGTGGAGAAGGGAAATGAGGCATGGGAAATAGCTGCATGTATCAGCTTTACACATACCTAAAATACAGGATGGATAAAAATGGATACCTATGAAAGTCTGCATGGTGGGTTGACCATGCTAGGTGCCCACCAAAGCCACTCTGCCACTCCCCTCCACAGCTGGGCAGGGGGGGCTGGAAAATAAGATGGAAGCTTAGTGGGTCAAGTTAAAGGCAGGGGGAGATCACACAAAGTACCATTACTGGCAAAACAGACTCAGCTTTGGGAAGATTAACGTGACATTACCAATCAGAGCATGATAAGGAGAAAATAAAACATTCCTCCCTTATTTCCAGGCTTTACTCATGAATTCACCATCTCCTCTCCCAGTGGGGAGACAGGGAATGGGGGTTGTGGTCAGTTCACCACACATCATTTCTGCTGTCCCTTCCTCCTCAGGGGGAGGACTCCTCACACTCTTCCCAGGCTCCACTGTGAGGTCCCTCCTCCAAGAGACAGTGCTCCACCAACCTCTCTAGCACAAGCCCTTTTCACAGGCTGCAGTTCTTCATGAACTGCTCCAGCATGGGTCCCTTCCACAGGGTGCAGTCCTTCAGGAACAGACTGCTCCAGCATGGATATCCACAGTGTCACCAGTCTTGCCAACAAACCTGCTCCAGTGTGGTCTTCTCTCTCCATGGGGCCACAAGTCCTGCCAGGAGTCTGCTCCAGCACAGGATTACCATGGGGTCACAGCTTTCTTCTGGGCATCCACCTGCTCCACCATGGGGTCCTCCATGGGCTACGGGTGGATCTCTGCTCCCCCATGGACCTTGATGGGCTGCAGGGGTCAGCCTGCCTCACCATGGTCTGCACCACAGACTGCAGGGGAACCTCAGCTCCTGGAGCACCTCCTCCCCCTCCTTCTCCACTGACCTGGGTGCCTGTAGAGTTGTTGCTCTCACATATTCTCACTACTCTCTCTGGCTACACTTGCTGTTGCACAGTTTTTTTCCCCTTAATATATTACCTCGAAGGCTGATGAGCTTGGCCTTGGCCAGTGGCAGGTCCATCCTGGAGCCAGCTGGCAGTGGCTTTGTCAGATACAGGGGAAGCTTCTGGCAGCTTCTCACAGAACCAATTCCTATAGCCCCCTCACTACCAAAACCTGGCCATGCAAATCCAATACAGTCAGAGATGTTTTGACGTTTAGAGATGCTCCCCTCATCACAGAAGGAATAGAGAGAAATTGCCAAATGCTGGTCACAGAGAGCAAGACTCAAGATCATTTTCCAGTGCCCAGCTTGAACCAGTTCTGGAGAGCTGAACCCAACCTGGACCAGCTGGGACAAAGACAGGGACCACAAACTGTGAAGAAGAGCTCAGGGGTAGGAGTGGAGAGCTGGAAGACGTGATACTTCCCAACTACCTGTCTTAGGTGGGTGGTAAAGCATTAATCCACACATGGCTGTAACAGAGTCTGGCAGGATATGTAGAAACAACTGAAGGGACACATCTGGGTGTAAAAACTAGGTCTAGTTAAGAAAAAGTCAGGAATGCCTCCATAGGAGGCTCCCAAGAGCTCTCAAATCTCCTTCGTAACAGTAGCTGGGCTAAGTGCAAGACCATGCTCGGGCAGGGAAGTAGAGGGGACTCACGCTCTGCAAAATGAAGAGAGACAAACTCATCCCTCTGTTCCTTCTGTGTATGAGAAAGCAGTAGGTGTAGGTAACAATCATATAGCCTGTGGCAGAACAGTGGAGAGACCAGAGGCTTCATTTTCCAGACCAGCTGGCAGGCAATTCTTCTTTGGCACATGCCAGGCTCAGGAATTTTACAGCAATACTTTGCAGCAAGGAATACCTAGGTAATCAAAAAGTCTTCTGTGTTTCAGGTGTGCCAGAAAGGAAGCAAACTTACTAACACTCAAGACAATTCCCTTCATTTTCTTCTATTTTTTCCCCTCTCTCACATCATACAACAACGTTGTTCAATTAAAATATACACTAGTTTCCACTTATTTTCCATTCCTATTCAATAGGACAATATTAAGGCCCTCTACAGTTTAAGAAAGCTTGAGAACACTGCCTTGACTCTCTTCCGCTCTTTTTGCATGAAGTTTCTCACTGTATAAAACCAAAATAGGCCAATTAACCAAACTACCAACCAAAAACTTGCCATTTAAATATACTGTTGTTTAACAGTTAATTTTTGAAAATGTTTAAATGAAAATGCATTTTTTTTCCACGATGAATCTGATAATTTGAGATAATTAACTCTGCATAATATAGAGAACTCTGAACACCTCAAGCATTTTAGGTGTTGGAATACGAGGTGAAAGAAAAGTGGCAATGACTTCCCAGATTAATAATCCTTTTATTATTAACATTTAAGAATGATGGTTTCAGAAAGTTCATTTTATTAAGTGTCCCCATAAATGTGGGGGCTTTAATATTTAAAAATACCCAACTTTTACAATTTTAAGTTTCAGGGCTTTGAGCTACAGAAACAGGAGCATATAACAGTGAATTCCTCCAACATACTCAGTTCACAGATTTACAAGGCAGAAGGAATATCAGAATTATTGAAGTTTGACCTCCTGTATAACATGAGTTTTGGGCTTCCCTGATTTAACCTCCATTTCAGTCCAGTAACTGGGGGATTTCCTTTAACAAAAACACCAATGCTGCTGTTTCACAGAACATAACCAACAAAATTCGCAAGCAGACGTACTACTTCTTGAGTTTCTTTTGAGCAGCCTTTTTCTTGACCATCTGTAACCTTTTCATAGCATTGAGCTGAGATTCCTGAGAAGTTGGGCCCTTTAGGGAGGCTGACTGATTACCAGTATCCGCGGTGGTTTTGCTCGTGCTGCCCCCGCTGTTCCCTGAATTCCCGCTGTTGCCATTCCCGCTGCTCCCCTGGCTGCTGGTGCTCGGCGCGGCACTGCTGGGACTCGGGAGACCCACTTTGCTGACGTTGTCGCTGCTCACTGAGCGGCTCAGGGTGGTTTTCCCCAGTGTCAGAGGTGGAGGAGGTTTCAGCTGAACAGGGTTTGTGCTGTTGTTGGCAGAAGCTATTTTTGACCCTAGTCCTGTTTTTGAGGTTGCCAACCCTGACAAACCCACAGGTTTCTGGTTATTTGAAGAAGCTGCCGGTTTCCCACTGGCACTCTGTGCTGTTGATCCCAGTTTGGCAGTGGATGGATTGGCAGAGGAGGTTTTGGCTGCAAAAGCAGCCCATCCTGTAAGGCCACTCGTTGCTGAAGAGGAAACACTTGTACTGGCAGAGTTCCCCGAAACTGTTGCTGAGGTCTAAAATAAAAAAGCATTCTTATTATAGTAGGATCTATTTGTGCAACACATCACAGTAGGAATACAGAGCCTCTGTTTCAGTTCTTTTCCCAGGATCATCCAATGGACAATATTTCATCACTGCTTACTGCAGTTGAAAGTACTAACATGAACAAGAAAGGATGCCAGGTGTAGCCAACTTTTAATCTCCCAGCCACATGGAAAAAATAATACCTTTTCTCTCCTTTCTTCTATACAGTTAGCAGGCTACCATACAGCATTGTGATCCCTCCATGAACAATAAAAGCCCAAATTTGTGAACTATATAAAAGGTGGTGGCTTGCCTTCCTTTTTTTTTTTTACTGTTGTTACCTGGTGTCACTTCTCAACAAGATGACAGATGCTTAGACAAAAATCAGACATTGAGCAATTTATTATTGCATTTATTACAGCCTTTTGGTCAAAGTAGCAGTATCTAAACTGTTTCCTTTCTCTCCCTTGGTTCTTAAAAGCCTGTACCACAGAGAGAATTAAAAAAAAAAAAAAAAGAAGTCACTGCACTTCTTTTCTGTAGGTCTCTTCCCATTCAGGTACTGCAAAACACAAACCTTCTGCACACATGGGCTCCCCTGCTTGCAAAGTGCTGTACACATTACCTGAGTTCCCACACCTTAAACCCTATAACCCCCAGGTTTCAGATGGGGATGATATGTTGCGTTATTAAACCAGAGTTACAGCAAATGGCAGCGTTAAAATGAAAACTAAACCCCTCTATTTAAGTAATATCCCTTTTACAGTATTTCCAGAGAGTTTCTAAACAGTAAAGATGATGGATGAAATCAGGCCTCAGGTCTAACAACCCATTTAGGCAAATAAATAAGTCTGCTGAGGTGAAAAAAGTATTCTCAAGTATAAGAGCTTGAGCAATACCCATCATATTATTCATGATGGTTTGCATCCAGGCAGAGCAATGGTAAACATAACTCTGAGCGCATGAATAGTTGCTTTGATTTTGAGTTAAAGCTGTGTTTTCCTAGGTAAGGGTCACGCTTTATCAGACTGTTATATTTTTTACTGTACTGCCTCTGGTTTACCACCTTTGAGCAACTTGTGACAGTATTTTAACTTGGGAAAAAGAGAAATAGAAGCAACATAGAATCGTGGAATAGAATCACAGAATGGTTTGGGTTGGAAGGGACCTTGAAGGTCATCTAGTTCCAACACCCTTGCCCACACTACCCACTAGATCAAATTATGTGTAAGAAGCAGCAGTCTCCTAAATTAGATCTCAGAGTCAGCTAGAGTTTCCCTATTGTAGACTCATAGAACTGTCTAGGCCAGAAAAGACCTTCAAGATCATCAACTCAAAGTGTAAAGTCAGCACATCCAAGTCCACTGTTATGAGGAAGAAAAGCCTAACTGTTAAAATACACATGTTACTTGACCACAGAGACCAAACAATATATTTTCTATGATTCATAGAATCATAGAATGGTTTGGGTTGGAAGGGACTTCAAAGATCACCTAGTTCCAACCTCCCTGCTGTGGGCAGGGATACCTTCTACTAGACCAGGTTGCTCAAAGCCCCATCCAACCTGACTTTGAAAAAATGCAGGGATGGAGCATCCACATGTTCTCTGGGCAACCTGTTCCGGTGTCTCACCACCCTCACAATACAGAATTTCTTCCTAACATATAACCTAAATTTATCCTCTTGCAGTTTAAAACCATTCCCCCTTGTCCCATCACTACATATCCTTGTGAAAAGTCCCTCTCCAGCCTTCCTGTAGGTCCCTTTTAGGTACTGGAAGGCCCCCTGGAGCCTTCTCTTCTCCATGCTGAACAACCCCAGATCTCTGAGTCTGTTTTCATAGGAGAGGCTCCAGCCCTTCCCAGCTCCTTCCAGCAGTCCCCTTTGGACCTGGTTCTAACAGGTCCATGTCTTTCCTGCACTGAGACAGCTGGACACAGTAGTTCAGGCAGGGGCTCACAAAAGTGGAGTAGAGATGCAGAATCACCTCCCTCAACCTGCTGCTGGGCCAGCTTCTTATGATGCAGCCCAGGATATGGCTGGCCTTCTAGGCTGCCAGGGCACATTTATAAAGATTTCTACTTGTATAAAACATCATTAAAAAACTTCATAGCGTCACTTCTGTTCTTTCCCTTGTAACACAAAAATACAGTCAAGAGCTGGACGTTTTAGGGACTTACTGCTGAAGTGAGGGTTTTTTCCCTGTTCTTTCAGTGTTAATGCTATGGTGCTGCTCAGTCTGCATGGTATAGCAGATTGTTTTCATTCATGATTCTTGTGAGAAAAGATTATAATCTATGCAGTGAAATGTAAACTTTTCCTCTGGCAAATTTAAACTACATTACCTTGACTTCTGTTCTCTTGAATGCTAGAAAAGCTGGTGGGGTCTCAGGTTTTAACTTAATTTCTGGCTTCTTGACCAATGGGTCCTTCAAAGCTGGTGCAACTGAAACCACTGCAGGAGCTGTTTTTTGAGGTGGCTTTTGTGTCTTCTGAGCCTGTGTAAGTGGTAGGAAAAAACCATGCCAAATTAGTTACAGACCCTATAACATTGACTGTTTTGACTGTTAACAAAAAGCATGAGCATTTTAAGATTGCAATCTAGTCTTTACAACTTCAAGTTTAATGGTCCATGAGAAATGAGGTAATAGGGGATGTGGAGATAGTGCTGGTTATGGTATTGGAGACAGGGTCCAGCCACAAAGCATCCTGAATAGAACTTGCTATTTCAGCGTGGAAAGAGTTGCAGTGGTGACACTTAGAGAACAGGAAAGCACTGGGCCTTTACAGGAATAAGGCAAAGGAAGGTGAACTTGCAGAAGAAAGGGACATAATCCAGCAGCACTGGGATGTGGGCTGCAAGAGCCTGCTAAGAAGTGGCAGGCAAAATGGCAGAATTCATGCCAAAAAAGAAAAAAGGAAAGGTCATATTGAAGGCAACTACTGAATGGCTGCAATTGCTATCCTGTGCAGGAACTGACCTTCAGCAAACACTCCTCTGAGTTCAAAGGCCTGATGACCATCAGAATAATCATGTATTTCAGTCAGTGATGACAATTCCTAGGCCAGGATCTTACATTGCCTTTTTTTCTTGTTTCTTAGTAGAGCCATTTCAAAAGATAACAACTTGCTAAGTTATCACAGAGAAGTTTCAAAACACACTTTCTGCTGTATAAAAGGGTGTGATTTTAAAACGTTGGAACTAAAGTCACTAATGTTTCATGCACCCAAGGTGCTGTCTTACTCTCATATTCATTTCTCATAATGAGACGAGTGCAATTCCAGTGGGATCCTGTTTAGTCAAGAAATTAACATGCAGATCAACCAAAATAAAGATTTTAATTTCATTTTTTTTTTTACTGCAATGTGCTACCCTCAGCTTGTTTTTGAGCCTGAGAAAACTCAATGCTTGAGATCTGGACTGAAATTTGCAGTCTTGTCCTACAGGAAAGCAACCATTAATGTCCAAAGCTGAGAAGAAAACTAAAACTGTAGGGCTATTTGGTAGATATATGCTAAAAACTGAGTATCACCCGAAATAAAGAAAATAAAAAGTTTCAACTGCTGCCTGCCAAGTAGGAAATAATCCTATTTCACTCCTCTTCACTCAACTTTGCATTTTTAAAAAAACGTTTTTTAAGAAGCACATTACAGAATGCTCTTTGAGATGCTACATTAAAAAACACACCTGCAGCAAGGGAAGCACTGCTGAGAAAAACAGTTTTCCAACATGCTTCCAAAGATTTCTCTAACCCATAAAATACCCTTGCATAGTAGAAATAGCCTGCTGTATTCAAATAGGGCTCACACGAGACAAAAAACTGACTCCTACCATTCTCTTCATCTGCCTGGTACAGCGGGCACAATACCATACAAGTCGAGGATCATTCACTTCCTTGTCTGTCACCTGAGGTTTATGGCAATCCTGGTGGTAGAGATTATGGCACTCCTGACACTCCACTAGCTGATTCACAAAAGTAACTGTCATTTGCCTGCAGAGCAAATAGTTAAGAACAGATTACGGAAGAAAGCACTTAGAGGATTATCCAATTGTTGAAAATTTTGCAAGGCTTAAGACAAAAATTAAAAATATTTTTGCTTTCACATGTATTTCCTACCTTTGGCAAATGAAATGTATTCCTTTTCTTCCTGTATCAGCTCTTCCTAACTAATATTTTAGAAACTTGATATTTTTAAAAGGTAATTTTTTTCAAGAATATCTAAAACTTCCACAATATTAAACACGAGTATGACAGTTTTGATTTCTCTGTTTGATTTTTATATTAGAAATATAAGTCTTGCCTGCTTTGCTTCACCTGGGCATTTATGGATATATCACTCTATAACAAACATGACTTCCTCATTATATTAGTATATGAAAGGTCTAGTCTCCATTTGTACAATTTTGCTGTAAGCTTTAGAGCAAAACAGTTCAAGAACAAATAACTTCGCAATGACAAGCTGGTAAGAGTGCTTTCTGCTGCAGGATTTGAAAGCATCATCATCATCCAAGCTCTACACTACTTTGAAGATGTTTTATTAGCCATCCTTTTGGTCCCTACTACATAAACAGACACGCGGAATTTGCGATAATACCAGAATTGTGGAAAGATGGAATAGAAAGGATTAATTGTGCAGTCCTGCCTTGAAGCAAACATGCAAGCTGGTGATGAGGACTTCATTTTGCATGGGCCTCTGTTGAAAGTAATCATGCTGTATAAATGACAAATTAGTGACATATACGTGACTGGGAGTCTGCCTGTGAATTAGCCGAATACCATTTTCTTAACGATTTCTTCTTTCAGAGGACAAATCAAGCTATTTAATTGCTAAGCTGCTTTTGCTCATATCCCTGAGGAGCAGGTACCCAGGTAACCATGGAAACTCTATTTGTAGATGGGTGGGGAAAGGTAATCCCTTATTTCTTTATATAACAGAAAAATGAAGTCTGATACTACAACATTTTCTAAGAAATATTTCTCTTTTACACAGGCAATTTAAAACCAGAGGGAGAAACCTTTCTGAAATTCCAGGGTCCATTATTCTACATGCAGGGTATTTGAAAGACATTTTGTTTGTTTCTCATTCCTAAATAAACTGGATCAGAACAAAGCAGTGATGTTTCAACCTCATGTGTCAAGGCAGGAGACTCATCCTATTTTAAAATTACAAAGAACAATCCCAGACTGATTAAAAAGTCAGGAACTCTTCATGATCAGAAACAAGTTAAACCACTTACTTTTAAATCATAAGATAACTAAGAAACAAGCCTAACAATTTTTTACTATCAAAAAACAAAAAAAAAGGTATTAACAAAAAATTTGAAATTTTGTTATTTCGAACCCAGTGCTTTTTAAAGATTTTTCTGGGATGAAAACTTCACAATCATCTACAAACTACATACAGTATTTCCTCTTCATATAACTGAGGAGTCATATAACTGGTGGGTCCTGTTTTTGCAAGACCTACAGGTACTGGAGAAGTTGAAGTTATTTTAATATTCTCTCCCTCCTTATGCCTAAGTTGGCATAACAGAACAAGAAGAAAAACACAATAGGCATCGAAGTGCAATACTCGTAATCACTGTGAAAATACATTTGACACTTGGCAAATCTTGAAGAAACATTTCATGTCTCTGCTTTAGTTTTTACATCTATAAAAAGGAATAGTTAATATTCGAATGCACTTTTTGCATTTGTGAACCCACAGCTGGGTTCTTATCAACTTGTCTTCTTAAGCAATGTAAATATAAACTCTTTTGCTATGAACTCCACCTACTCTGCAATTGGACATGACGTTTTCATTCACAACTGGTTGAATAACTGAGTTATTAGAAGATGCCATTTTAAAAATACTATTCATACTTGAGTTATTTTACAGAGTATCCAGTGCTTTTATTCTTCATATGAATGGGGATACTATTATTTTAGCTCAAGATGGCCACCCCAAAAACAGTGCACATATTGGAATAGAGGAATACTGTCTGATCAGTGTGTTGGAGTCAGAACTCCAAAGCGCAAATCCTCCGAAAAGCGTCCAGTTCAGTACAAGCTGGAGGTGAAGAACCATGTGACATCAGTCTCAGCAAGTTCTGCGTAAAATGAAAGCGATCGTGAGTGTCAGGGTGACTGTGGCCATCCCCTTTCTAACAGGTTGTTTCTTTCCCTGCAGTACTTCTCCCTCCCTCTGGTATCAGTTAATGAGAGCTATTTTAGTTAGCCAGGGCAGAAAAGTCTTTTGCAAGAACAATTGAGTTGGTGACCATGAGCATGTAGAAGCAACACCTTCAGCAGCCAGGTTAAACGTTGATTGTGGAACAGCTAATGGAACCACATACCCAGCCTGTGCTTTTCAAAGCAAAGTCTTGGCCATGCTGGGCACAGGAGTTGCATTTTCTTTAGTTTCTTTACTTTGCAGGCATTTCTCATTATACCTGTATGTGTTTTTTTTTGCCAGGGAAGACAGAAAATTAATAATCCACAACAGCTCAAGACTGTCTAAAAAACTCTTTTTGTTATCCCTTCCTGCCCAATAACTTAATACCATACTATTCTTAGTAGCATTTTAACATACCACCAAACGGGGATTTGCCCCTTTTAGGGGACAGAAAAAGTGGAATTTAAAGGAAAAAAAGGTAAAATTGAGATATTTATTTCATACTTCTTCCTTTTTCAGTGTCTCTATTAAGAAACTAAACATTTGAGCTAACATATGGAAATAATGTGACATGAAATCTCATCAGTTCACAATTGGTTACCAGTATAATTAGCTGCAACAACAGAAATTTATCATCCCTGGACTGCAGTTGCCTCCTTACCTACACAACCGGAATGACCATGAAAATGATGGAACAACGAAGTTATAAAGCCCAGTTTCACAAACAACTTAAGCTGAGCTGAAATACATACTTGCTACCAGTTCCAATCCCTTCTCTGTCCTGGCTCTACATTCTTGTATCAACACATGTGCCAACACAAGCATTTACTCTCACTAAGCTGACTGAAACCTAAACCTACTGAAAAACCGAAGTGGAAAGCTGATCCAGAAGCTGATTCAGCTCATCACAAAACCCTGTGTGCAATACACCCCCTAAACAGTACAGGGAAGGAGGTACAATTGGGAGAGCCAAACTGCTCCTTTTGGAAGCAGTGGAGGCTTAACAAGGACATAAATCATCTGTGAAACCAAACCCTGGTTTGAGTGATTTGATCCTAGGGTAGAGATTCAAAAGTGAATTTTATACTTCTGTTAACACTAAATGTACTGCTAGCACAATGTTAATAAATCCAATTTTAGAGCCCTTACTGGAAAGTAAAAAGAACCTGTCTTCACTGCCAGATATATTTACTGAGAAAACATGGCTATGTGTAAATTAATGTCAAATGATTAGGAAAAGAGGAGCAACACATATACATCTCATAATAATGCCACTTACAAATGCTTTCAGGAGAGAAGTGATTTTTTAAATTGCTTATCATTAGCCGTTAATACTTTAACCTGCTTTCCAATAATTAAAAACTGGTATTTGTCATGATAGGTTTTGCATCATGTTTAGTTTTATTTTTCACTTGCCTTTTCCTGAAGAAAAGCTGTTTTTCTCATTAAACGTTCTATTTTCAAGAAACTATTCTTATTCATGAAGGATGCTTAAATCTATTGTCAACTTTGGATATGTGCTTAAGTGATTTCCAGAATAAAAACTAAAAGAAGCATTAACTCAATGGTACACATTAAAAAAAAAAAGGTAACTACCTACCAATGAAGACGTTGACTTACCTGCAAACAACACAGGCCAATCCCATTTCCATAGCAAAGTCATCAGCACTGGTTTCCTCAAAGCTAGATAAATCAGGCATGGATAAATCCTTGCTCGTCTGAACTGTAATAGGAGAGGAACGAGCCTCTTGCTTCTCTACTTTGGGCTTCTTTGGTGCATCAGTTCCTTCAGCAGTATCCCCTTTTGTCTATTAAACACATACAGAATGTGAAAACTCAAAATGCTAGTAGATATTATTAAAATGAGAAAATAATTGGCACAATTAGATTAGCAGTATAAGAAGGTATGCTTTATAGAGGACAAATACAATGTATTTTCTTTAATTACATATTTTCTTCAAAATATTTACGAACTAGAAGCTCAAGCCCACTTTTTGTACTTCACCTCAAAATCCTTGAAAAAGCTTTGGGAAACTCACATTTCAATTTGCTACATTTTAGTACCTTGTTATTATCAGGATGATTCAAAACAGAGAATCACAGAATGATTTGGCTTGGAAGAGACCTTTAAAGGTCATGAAATCCAACTCCCCCTGCACTGAGAAGGGAAAACAATCACAGAATAATTATAACAAGACTTTTGTTGGAGTGCCTAAAGGCATGATTGGCTAATGCAGCTCACAGGTTACGCACCACTAGATGAGTTGAGCTACAGAGACTGAAAAGGGAACCTTCTATCTAAAACACCTTCCAGGTTATATACCAAGTTATCTCAATAGAGAACAAAAATCACTTACTTTATCAGCAGATCTCTTTTCTGTTTCTTTTTTCACCTTTTCTGATGCAGTGGGCTTGCCATTGTTGTTGCCGGAGGGCAAACTAGAAGAAGTTTTAGGCTCTTGCTTAATAGGTTTGGTAACAGATACTTTTGGTTGCTCGGCTTCCTAAAAACAGAAACAAAAATTGAAGGCAAACCCTACACTTGAGATACTTCCCAGTTTGCAATTAGTTAGATACCAGGATAGGCAAACAACATACAACACCAATCATCTACACACACACTTTTTAAAAAAACCATTTCTTAAATATCTTCATACCACATCAATAAATTAGTGTGTATAGGTTGCAGACAATTAGTAAAACCTCCCCTTACCACTCACCTTCCAGAGGGAAAGGTGCTCCTTTTCCAAAGACAGATCCTCTTTGGAACATTAATTAAAAAGGAAGACATTTCTGCTTTTAAAATTCAAAGAGATAATGAACACAAATTTTCAGATAATTCTGAGGACAAAATTCAATATAAGCTGAAAACATAACCCGACATCTGATGTAACCAGACATCAATACTTCATTCCTTCACGGAGAAAAACATTGACCTCTGCTGAATCTCAGTCCATATTCATCTAGCAGATGAATAAATTTAGATCTCAACAGGAATCAATAGTTCTCATTAATGATGCCTTAATGTCGGCAATGGACAATAACCAAGAGAGTCTGTAAATGAGTGATTAATCACACTAATGCACAGGAGCAAGGTACCCCCTCTCAGCTGGTAAGAAGGTAGTAATTCTCTGCTCTGTACTGAGACAGGTCCTAAGCCCTGAGCTTCAGCTCTCTGAAGTTTGTTGACTTCCTGTTGCATCCAGGGTCAGGCTGCATCCTCATCTGACTGACTGTGGTAACTCTGTGCTCCCTACTCTGTTCTTGGATTTCATGGTCAAACAAATTAATCCTGCAGCCTTATAAGAATGCAAGGAAAGAAACCATTACATTTTTTTTTTTATTTTTGAGCTTTGCAATCCAGCTGATACTAGAGACATACTAAAAAGAAGAGAACAAAAGATTTCTTCCTCTGCCCTGAGCTTCAGTTTCACCTGAGGGCAGGTGACTGCCAGCCAAGCTGTTATTAGAATTGGCTTCCCAAGCCTCTTTGCACTATTATTGATCTCTCTGCTTCCTCTTTAAACCACAAATCGCTTCTTTGAGCTCTGAGGGCACTCGAGAGTTTTGAGACCTGTGTTAGGGGGAACTGCAGTTTAGGTTTCAGGGAGCTGAACAGAAAAGAGTTAGACCACACCGTACAAGCATGATATATGCTGAGCAGTAATAGTGCCTTTTACTTATTTGGAACCACGTAGATGTAGAAATGAAATATTACTGATGTATCAGCATACAGATCATCATTATAACATACCAGGCTGACTTCCAGGCATCCTAGGGGAGAACACTACCTCGTTATCCATATGGTAGTATGTAGAAGTACGAGTATATCCCCGCTTGGTTATTTCCATTCACTAATTTGGATTCAAATGGTCCCTCTAGCAGGTGTTCAGTGATTTTCGGTAGATGAAAAATAATGTTTGTCCATTGGACGGCAATGGTTCCAGACTGCAAATCATTTCTGCTTTGAACCATTTCGTGTTTTTCATTCTCATATGACTTCATCAACAGAATTTCACGGAAAGAGACCCAGCTTTATCAGTAAATAGCTTGTTCTGTTTCATATTTATCTGTGGCAAAAGTAATCGGCATTTTAAAGACCTTTTAGCTCTGAAATGTAACTGCAGAAATATGTAAGTTTGGGCTCACCTTACATAGCATGTCTGATATAATGTTGAATATCTCTTTTAAAGGTCTTGGTATATCAACAAGGTAGAGATTTTTTTCCCCATTAACTTCTGTTAATTGAATAGATTATGTTGCATAAAAGGGAAACGATGAATATGAACATTCCATAATTACTTTTTTTTTTTCCTAAACTGCTGATTCTCTTTTAACTTTCCAGCTATAAAAGAGGAACTAGGAATAGAAGGAGCTCTGTAAAGGCATACAAAAATGACCCATGCTCTCTAACACCAATACCTTCTGAGATGGACGATAGCTTGACTCAGTTCCTCTGGCCAAAGACTCATCAAGAAGTGCTTTCAGCTTTTCTGCAGAGTCCTTACTCTTTGAATGCAAGAAGCCCAGGGCTTTCAGAAAAATGGGATCAAGCTCCAAGTTCACTGTAGCAGCCATAGTGGTGTCTTCAGAGGGAGTTTGAATGAAAAAAAAACAAAAAAACAAACAAACAAACAAATAAAGAAAATCAATGACAACTTTATTCATTTGGAGCATAACTCAAACACCATTGTGGCTAACAGAAGATCTATTTTTTTTGCAAAATGGAATGACATCAAATCACAGGAAGGATGATATGTGAATTAATTATCACTAGAAGATGACTGATTGTGAACTCTTGAGTTGCAAAACTTGAATTTGACTTTACATCTGAAATTATGTCAAATTAATTCTTTGGCATATCTGATATTCAGAAACTAAACTCATCACACTCAGGTAAATGAAACAAATATTTCATATTCTTGATATTCCATACATAAAGAATATTGAAAAGTATGCAAAACAAGTGTTAACTTCAAGGAAAGCAATTACTACCCTTCTCCTCAACATTATTTGCACCTACAGTTATTTCTAACTCATGGCTTGTTTAAGAGTAATTAAAAAATCTTACTTGCAGAAAAATTAACTTTTGAAACTTCTGACAAAAACCCAGCTCATTGTAGCATACAATATAAGATACAAACAGCTAGTGTATTATTTTATACAAATACCTGAAAAAACACCCTATCCATTTTTAAATTTAGCTGGAACAGCGAGAAAATTTATAACTTAAACTGTGACTTAACCACGTCCCCATGTGACAGTCTGAGTTTTAATGTCAAGTAATGACTATCCACGGCTTCAATACACCACAGTGACAATGTAAATGGAACAAAGTGAGAAAAAGTTTAGAACTAATTAAAAATATTATGTTTGCTTCAGAGCAATACATTCTGGCACTCTGGAACCTTCTCGGTTCATTTCTTTAACAAAAGCTCTAAGGAACTGCATTTACATTGGAAATTGTACTTAAAAAGATCTAACTTAATCAGTAATTGACAATAATTTAAGAAATAACGTGGGAAGTTATGGGAACACATCAGGATGCTTTATGGTTTTGTTTGGTTTTGGTTTTTTTTACACAATAATCCAGAAGATGTTCTTGAAAAGCCTTTCATCAGTTCTGCTCAAAAGCACTGGACAGCTTTTTTAGCTGGAGCTTCCAAGGTTTTGTCTGATTAATTCCTTTTGATATTCATGGCAGTGAACTTTTACCTCTCTGGCCAAAACACCAGCAGTGGCAGCCTGCTCCCTTAACACTTGCCTAGAAGTCCCTAGGAACCTTTATCTCATGCTGAGCTTTCACGAGACACCAGAGAATCACTTGACTGAGACCATCAAGGAGTTCAACATACAGTAGACTTCATAGGGATTTTATCAATGGACCCAGTAGAGAGTTAAGAATCCTCTTCAAGAGCCTCTTCTCTCTTCCTTAATCTTTGCTACTTGACAAATCATTTTCTGGTGGCCACAGAACTTCTGCTAGTAATACTACACACCAGCTACTCTGCTTTTTCACAGATCAAGCAGAGACTGCAGTGAAAGCCCCATCCAGACAATTCGGTCTCTCTCTGATGATTACAAAAAGTGAATTCACAGTGCATGGAAAGCAGATACCCTTTTTTTAATGCATCTACCTCTAACAGATGCTCAAGCTGCTCTCAAGATCTGTGGGTAGGTTATCTCCTCCATTTCTTTGTTCTGTGAATATGCCTTTTACAAGAGTCAGTGTCACATACTCTTATACCAGGACTCTGCTAAACCCTCTGTTGAATGAAAGTAGAATCAAAACACTAATTTCAAAAATTTTGTAGAATTCCCTGCTAAAAAACAATACTTTCAGTTCTTCTCTGAGGCTTCTACTAGGAATACACACTTGTCTACAGGAAGGACAGGTAGCCAAACAGTCATTAGCAGCCAATTCAGGATGCCTGTAATATTTAGAGAACAAGTATAAACACACTAATTCAATTTTCATCTAGTTGAAGATTTCTTTCTAGCTCTAGTTTTTTAAAGACATATATTGAAAGGAACTGTTAAACCCCAAATTTCAAGAGGGTTCTCTGTATTTATTCTTTTATTTGCTATGAAATTCCAGCAATTCTTTCTTTATTCTCGAGGATAAGTTTTAATGTCATAGGCTACTTCAGTTACAACTAATATCACAAGAAATTTCTCAAGAGAAGGGAAGGAACTGGGTTTATTAAACAGTTCAAGTATGCTCAGCTTAGGCATGTATTTTCAAATTAAAAAAAAAAAATCTATTTGTGACTTAGAGGAAGTCTATTCAATGGGAAGATGAACACATCAATAGCTGTCTTAAAAAAAGAATCACCTGAAAAAGTAAATTGATAATTATGCTCTCCTTACTGGACCATAACAACACAACTGCCAAACAGACTAACACCAGTAACTGACCTGGTCCAAAAGGCAAATTATTGCTTCTGGTAGTAGCCCTTTCCAGATGTTTACAGATCAAACAGTTTTTAAGTATAAAACAGTGGTTTGACACTTATAAACCTAAGATCCAACTACATTCATTCATGTTTTCATTCATAAACTGCTCCTCTGGCAGTGGAAGCAGCATACAGCAATGTGATAGCCTTGAGATAAGGACAGCAGTGTTCTAACAATGATGCCATAGGCTGTTCTGCAAGACAGACCTTGACTTTCTTCTTGAAGGGGAATCTTTGTACAAGAAATAATTCAAATGCTGTTTAGGAAAAAAAAGTATAGCACTGTCTTTTCCTTAGCAGTTTGATAACTCAGCTGTGAAATTAGATGACTGTGCTAAAAAAAACCCCAGAGCAGAACTGGTTTTGCTCAAAGCAAGTGCACCCTTCTTGCAACTCAGCATTCAGCCATCAGCCTAGCCCTAAAAGTACCTTTCTCAGCTTAGGTCTCTGTTTGGTACTTCTTCACTATTATATAAGAACTGTTTGATGATGGATACACAAGACCAAACATAAGGCAACAAAACTCCCTGAAGTATCGGAGATTATATTAAGAATCCTACAACCAACAATCATGGAGTAGCCTCCCAACATGTACTATTCGAAGTGTTTTAAATCCCTGTGGGGAAAAATAATGCTAATTAGTAGGTTGTTATTTTTAAAACATCCAAGAATTTTTGGATTCTCTCATTTCTTGAGCATACTTTGTTCTTCTGCCAAATACATACAAGTTTAATGGAGTACTATACAGAATATATGGTCCTCCAATTTAATAGACTTATTAGATTTCTAGGATCTTAAGGAAAAAAGAGCCCTCTTTTTTTTATTTATTTGCCATCTACTATGTTGCATACCTACATATCTATTATTTTATTCATTATAACTTGCAGTTAAAGGGATCTACTTCCATTACATTTTCAGATATGGTCGTATTTTTATCCATCTGTTTCTGAACTCCTGTTTCTATTATTTTCTGAGACAAGTGTACTACTGAAGATATTTTTCCAAGAAAGCACACACCTTCAGTTTATATTGCAACGTTATTATCAAACCCATTCTTTTATAAACTGGGAAATATTTTTATTTTTCACTGACACTGATGATTAAAAGGACTTCCGCTCACATATCCTTTTCAGCTACCTTCAACATATGTAGCAGTAAACTTAAAACCTAGTCACATGAAACAACAGCACATAATTCCTGCCAACACACTCACTTCACTGTGTTTATCAATAATTAATTTATCATGATAACATCATTTCACTTTCTCCCTCCCCTTTAGATTCTTCTGTTCCTCAGAACTTACTCTCTTCCTGACTAATCAGTGACAGTGGCAGATTTTGCTTATTTACCAATAATACCTCTTCCAGATCACTTCCAGATGTAATGTAAATCTTAAGAAAGTAGATCAAGGAAAATCTTAAAAGCAGGAAAAAACAAACTTCTGTTTCCAGTTTTTGCTTTTGTATCTTAATCAGGACTTGATTCATGACAGCATAATTTCTCAGTTACCTTCCACAAGGGACATTTCAAAACTCACACACTTCAGTAGTCTGGAAAACTGTATTAATCAGTTCTCATTTATCTGTTATCTTCTTCAAAGAATCTTCTAAGACTAGAGTAAAATTTCCTGCTATGTAGTTACTAGTACTGGTATCCTTAATTTTACATTCTATTCCACACCATATTTTATAATATACTTCTAAATTAATATTTCAATCAATATCACTGTAGTCCATTTATCCAAAATGTCTAAGATTACACCATATGCCGTTTTCTCCTCAGAAACAGTGAATTATTTACGAATCACAGAATCATTTAGTGTGGAAGGGATGTCACACGGTCACCCTGTGCAAGCTCCTGTTCAAAGTGAAGTAAACACTGAATTCAGACCAATTTGCCCAGGACGTTTCCAGTTGGATCCTGAAAACCTCCAAATACAGGAATGTGAAAAACCTTACGGGCAACCTGTCCCAGTGCCTCACTACCCCATTTCCTTGTTTGGAATTGGAAGTTTTAACTTGTGCTGTCTCTCATTCCCCCTCAAAGGATCTGACTACAAAGACTAGCTCTATCTTTTCAAAAATCTCCTTAGGTTTATAAAGGCTTCCATTAGGTCCCCTTAAGCCCCTGGCAGATGGCATCCAACACTTCCTTCACCTTCAGATCTAGCTATTTTGCCACAGGGGACAAGCCAGGTAGTCAGGCATGACTTATCCTTGGCAGATCTTGAGATGGCTAGCCTTAGTCTCCACCTGCTCCTCCTTATGCCTACAAAAGGCCTCCTCCACGATCTTTCCAGATGGAAGCAGCAAGGCCTGTAGTTGTCCTGCTAGTCCCTCTTGCCCTTTTTCAAGATGAGCATAAAATTTGCCTTTCTCCAGTCTTTGGGATCTCCCTAGTCTCATGGCCTTTAAAAGATGACAAAAAGCAGCTCTGTGAAGATAGACCTGAAGATGGTGTTTCAACACGTGCCATTGCTCATTGGTTTAAGTCACCGGCAAATTGAGTTTACCTCCACTACTGTTTTCACCTTTCCTTAATCCAGTGTATACTGAAACTCATCAAGCTCACAAATTCCTGGGTATCATCCTCCTGGAAACTTCTTGGTGACAAAATCAAACCTTAGTTGAAACGGAATTTCTGAAATAGTTACACCAAAGCCACAACACGACCCTCTGCAACCTACTTGCTGCAAATCTCTCCCTGAGATTTCCCTTTAGGAATGCACAAAGTGCCTCTTCCCTGAAAGCAACACCTTAAAATGTTTAAGATAATAAAAACCCACCCACCCTCCTGCCCCTGTTACCGCCCTGCACCGAGTTGCTCAGGGCAGCGGCTCCAGGGGTGCCCTGTGCCCGGGAGGGACTGTCCTGGCACCCACCGGGACAGCGCGGCGGCCGCCGCCCCTCCCAGTCCCACAGGAGACCCAGAGCTCAACCCGGGTGCGAGGGTAAGAGCCGCCAAGTGTGGTGTGGGGTCCACTCTTCCTCCTCCCCAAACCCCCTCTTCCTTCCTCCTTCCCCCCAAACCCCCTCTTCCCTGCTCCTCCTAAATCCCTCTTCCTCCTCCCAACGCCCTCTCTTCCCCCATTCCAACCTCCCTTCTTCCTCCTCCCAAAACGCCTCTTCCTCCTTCCTCCTCCCAACCCCCCCTCCTCTTCCCAAACATCTTCTCCACCGTCTTCCTCCTTCCCAAACCCTTCTTCCTCCCTCTTCCCAAGCCCTTTCTTCCTCCTCCCAAACCCCTTCTTCCCCTCCCAAACCCCTTCTTCCCCTCCTAAACCCCTTCTTCCGCCCCCCAACCCCCTTCTTTCTCCTCCCTCTTCCTCCTCCCCAAACCCGTCCTCTTCCCTTTTCCCAAAACCCCCTTTCTTTCTCCCAAGCCACTCTTTCCTCCTCCCAGACCCCCTCTTCCCGATCCCCGCAGAGCCGCCCGCTGAGGTCTCACCGGAGGCGAGGAGGAGGACGAGGAGGAGGGGGAAAGCGCACAGACGGGTCCGCCACCACGCCGGTCCCCCCGCGCCCCGAGTCCGGCGGGCGGCAGTTCCGGGCGGTGCGCGGGGCCGGGGCAGGAAGGGGCGGAGCCGGGGCGGACGCGGCCGGGCCGGGTAAGGAAAATAGACCGAAAAGAGGAAAAGCGGTCGGAGTTAAATCCCCGGGTCCGGTTTTGGTGGGGTGGCAGAGCGCTGAGAGGAGCTGGGAGCAGAGGTTTTGTGGAGCGGGTCTGTGAGAGAGTTCTAGCTCGGCCGTGTTGTTCTCTGCGACAGCCGAGTTCCAGCGCGCTGCCTCCTTGAGTTCTGGTTCTGTTCTTCGTAACCAGTGTCCTGCCTTCTTGAACCATCCACAACTTCCACTCTATTGGTAGTCGTGTCTGAAGCTCTTCATGAAAAGCTTCATGGCTCCCTCGCGGGTGCAGTGGTGGCTCTGGACTCATACAGCAAATGGGTCGTCTGAATAGAAATATATCCTCCAAAGTTATGTGCCTTAAGGCACACATATTGCTTTGCACTAATTTAAATATTTGTTGCGTTTTTAAATGACATTATATTGAGCGTTTCTCAAGCCTTAATGCATTTGCTTTAGCAAAAGTTCTGTGTTACCCTGTAGTAATCATCAAATGAATGATATCTTTTTAATTCTGAAAGGAATGAATTTCATTCAAACTGAAAGGAAGAGGATGCTTATGTACTTACTTATCAATTTTGAATTTTTTAGTTTTTCTTTTTCATAGGAAATGCTTGTTTTTAAAGCAGTGATTTTCTTTATTAAATTGTTAACGCGGCAGCTGAGCGAAACTAATTAATCTGTCGTTTAGTGCATGTTGAAAGGGAAGAGAAAATGGTAAAAACCGGTACAGTTAGCAAACATTATACTTACATAGTGTTACACGGTGACTTTTATGCCAAAGGTAGACAACATTATTTATCTTGTCTTTACATTATTGTGCAAATCCTGTATGGGTCATTGCTTCTCGTTTCCCCTCTTTCAAATAGCGGCTATTGTAAATAAGGCCAGTAGAATAAAAAGCCACCTCTTCCCACAGAATTTATAGTCTAATTGGAGAAAAAAGTGCTGGGAAAAATGTTTTGAGCAAATAGTGCAATGTTGTGTTAGATTTTGTCAGTTCTGTGTTGCATGTTTTGTTTTACTGTGTATGTCTATGTCTGCTGTTGTCTTAGTAAGCTGCCAAGGGATTAATCAATGTATCACATTTAAGGCAAGGGTAGCAGTTATGTGAAAACACTTAAGTGAGAACAAGCAGCCAGGTAGGCTATTGAGACGAAAGGCTGTGCATAAATTCACAAGGAAGGTAGATTCTGCAGAGTCAAAGCAGTGTGAAAAAACACCTGTCTTGGGAACAAAAAATATAGGGAACAACTTTATAAATGTCAGTGCTTAGAGTCAAGGTGTTAGGAGGAATTCTCTGAAGTAAATGTTGGGAGAGGGGTAGGATATGGCAGTGTAAGGGTGTACAGTTCAGTTGAGGTGACAATTTGAAGTGGTCTTATCTTCTCACAGGAAACAATATGGAAACACAGGTAAAGTCACTTATAGACAGAACTCCTGGGCAGATTAATATAGTTTCTCTTCTGTGAGAGACTTGAGAATAAAATTAGCTTGATTGTAATTTTCATTGTCACAGACTGGCCTTAAAATACCAAAATCTCACAACCAACCGAAAAACAAATCCTTTAAGAAAAATGTTTAATTTTTAGGTTTCCCTGTGTGAAAGTGAACTAAAAATTCTCTTTGTACTTCTATTTTTTCACATGTATAATGGTAACACAGGCAACTTGCATCTTGCAAGGCTTTTTGGGAGATGTTCAATCACTGTTGTGATGAAGGGACATAGAAGTTTTTACAAATAAATACATACTGAATGCTTTGCTATTCTAATGAAATATGTAAGGTGGTCATGACAGAAGCCCATTTTGTTAAAATTACTTTTTAAAGTTTTTGTGGAAATTAAAGTATTAATTAACTAAAGTATTAGCTCTGTTGGTATTGAAAAGCTCAATGCAAAAAGCAGAGTGGGGTTTTCCAATGCTTGCTCTCGTTACCTTTTAAAGTTTGCTCTCCTGGTCTGAAAAGTATGCAGCTTTAACCATCCCTGTAGTTGATATTTCCTGTTATTTGGGGCTTTGAGAAGAAAAAATGTAGTAGTATAGTGTATGAGAAGAATTTAGGACTATATTTTAAAATAGCAGAACAGTATATTGCAAAGATGCCTTCAGGTCAGGTACCATAAGAACTTGCAGGATCAGGGCCTTTAGCTGAGAGAGATCTGATTGCCTGTACAAACCAAAATGAATTGCTGTCATATAAATGATTAGAGATTAATTTGTTCAGGTCTGGAAATCGTTTGTGTATGTAAGTACCTATTCTCAGATTTAAGCCTGATATTGTGAAATGTGCCATGTTCTTAATTCTCCCTGAAAACCAAAGAAATGAGACATTTGTATTTTTGCAATGAGAGCTGGAGTTGTCACCTCCTCTGGAATCTTTTCCACTGTTAAGTGTAAGATACTAGTTGCTTGCACTTTTTTTTTTTAGAACTTAGCAATTTACAGTTTGTTTTTATTTGGTTCAGAATTACTAAATGGAATAATTAATTGTTGCTGTATTGATACTGTCACTGTTTATGTGACTCCTTAAAAAAGAAATTCTCGTAATATTGACCATAATACTAATCTTTGGATTTTCCCTTACTCCTCCTATGTGAGGAGAGTTTAATTAACTGAAACAGGAGTCTTAGCTTAACCCTTCTTCTCTCCCTTCACCTTGAATTAAATCAATCTCTAAAATTTTTATGAGTGCTTTACTGAGTAAGTAGATCATAAATATCACTGTTTCTGTGTTCTTTTTGTCTTTGTAGAAGTTCATTTAGGTTCAGAAAAATAATTCAGTCTCTCTGTCATGTCATACTCAGCTCATGTTGCAGCTGAGTAGTGGTAAATGACTGTATATTTACGAAAGTTAGTCTGAGTTTTGAGGAGGTTAGTAACCACCCTCAAACTGTCCAGTGCAGCTGTCTCCCAGAGGTTCTCTCTTCAAGGCATTTGGAAGAACAGACCTTTGCTGAATGTACCTTTTCTTCAGTACAAAATCCAGAGCTTTACCTAAAATGGTTGAGAGAAGTAACTTGAAGTTATGATACTACAGACTAAATGAAATGGCCTGAATTCATATTCCCATTTTCTGACCCTGTAAAGAGAATGGAGTGGGTGGTTCTGGACTACATCTGCTTATCCTGCTTCAACAAGATCCTAGTATTGGTTTATATGGTTTGCATGATTTTTGATAGTTTTATACCTGAGGATGAGAATGGTTTAATTTGACAGGAATATTTCAAACTTAAAGAATACAGGTGGATTAATAGAATAGCATGAGCTGTGTTTACTGGGTTGAATACAAAGCAGGCTGATAACTAACAAGTCATTATTTCCAGTACGTTACTGTCACTGGGACTGTCTGACAGCTGCTGTCTGTTACTCATTGCTACTGAGTAGAAGTAATTTTGTTCAACAGATTAGAGGAGAATTCACACTGAGGCTGTTTACCCCTTTATCTACCAGTTTTCAAGCAGTAGTCTGATTAGTAGTACCTCTGCTTGGGCATCTTTTAAATACTTATGCTTTATTTTTAGTCTACTGACACATTACCCTTTGTGGTGAGACAGTGCTTCAGAGCTGCTACTCTGGATGAAAGTGGGCAAGGGTCAGTGTACCTGTTGAGAGTACCTATGTGGTGAAAAGATTAGTGTTTTATTTGGGCAGTCCTGAGTGATGGATGTAGAATAATTTGTAACAACAGGTTGCAATACTTGGAAACCATAGAATAATATACTTTGGAAATAGAAACCTTATCAGAATTTACCGAAGTATTTATCAGTTCTATATAGCATGATAATGACCAAAATAACTGATTGTGTCCAGTAAGGTCAACCAGAAGAAAACATTCATCACTAAAGTGATTGGTAAGATGTATGTGTATGTCTGAGTGGCCAGAGTGGCCAGGAAAAGATGGACTTGTGTGCTCCTTGAGTTCCCATGGAAAATGAAAATAATAACCCAAATGCATATGAGGGTACTGTTTAATATTGAAAGTAGTACTGTAGTCAAGAATAGGAGTTTAAGTGCTGGTGACTATGGATTTAACAGGTAAGACTAACTCTTCTGACTTGCCTCCTTAGCAGTGCCTTCACTATGTAATTTCTGCCACAGAGCTATACTTAGGATATTTAGTCTGTCTTGACTTACGTGCTGTCAAGATTTATCCAACTTAAATAGCTTCTGGGAAAGTAGGTATTTCATTATGTATTGTCTTGTTCTTTGTGTGGCAGGTGTATTAATTAAAGAAAAGCAACAGTACTCATAGTAGAGCCACTGTTCTTCTGAGACAATAACATGTCATGTAATAGTTTAAAGATACTTTGCTATAACAGTCATTAGTATGGTCTTAGTGTCAGGTGGATGTGGTTTTATTCTTCCACTGCCTTCTTTTAGGCAGTTGATTTGGCCCCGTGATAGATAATATGAAGTAGTAAATTTGATGTACATGTCTACATGAAGAAAAAATAATCAAATAATCAGCATATATCAAATGAAAACCCTTTTTCTGCTTTTTAAATAATTCCAGCATATTCATGTAACTGCACAAAGACCTTATTAATCCAGACAGTTATTTGAAAGACTCATGTTTTTCCAGTGTCACCGATGCTTTGTATATATGTATATAAAAAACATTCTGGCCTTCCTTAGCAACATTCAAATTTCTTTCTCTTGCTGCACTAGAGCTGTCGTCTGTAACGCTTGCTCTAAGAGCCCCATCTAGTGTCTAAGGCTTTTCAATGCGAGCTGCGATTTGTAGGTTTATGGGCAATTCCACTGAGGAATGGAGCATTCAAATTATTGCATCAGTGCTTTATGTTAAACTGGTATGGAATATTGTAATAGGAAAAATGTAATTTTTCCACCCACAATGAGGAAAATTAATTTTAGCTTTTAATATATTGAGAAGATATTAATTTCAGCTATGCTACTGTTATATTCAACTGTTTAAAGTAGTTGGGTGCTTGAGGTGTTCATGTAGCATTTGTGAAAGAAATGTTTATTTTCCTATGTGTCCTTCAGTTATTATGTCACCAGGCTCTAGATTAATTTTTAATACAGAAACCAATATTATTTCCCATGGCCTAAATACCCTCTATAAATGCCTTCTAACAGTTACAGAAAGACAAGTGTGTGTATTACAGAACTGACTGTTGTAGATATGTGCTCAGGAACTTGCTTTTTCAATAATACATGGTTAATGTTGTGGGAGATTTTGAGTCAAAAAACCCAAAAAACCTTGCTATAAAATGTTTATGCACTTAAAAATTGAAAACATTTTCTTGTTTGTTTTGTTTGATGTCAGAAATATGCTAAAACATAAAAAAAAAAAAAGGTACACAAATACTTTTCCTATCCATGATCTGTATGTGGAGACAATGTATATGTGAAACTGTTCTTTCTCTCAAAAAAGGCCTGCAGTCCAAATATACAGGCAGGATGTCTGTAGTAGTGTCTTATATTAAAATCAGTTGTAGCAGATAGTGGAAGAACCAGTGTTTTAAACCTTTTTTTGTTCTAAGTTCTGTATTCTTTTATGAATGTCGTGCTCTGATTTCTGTTTCAGGAACTTCAACTCAGGAGGAAGATGAAAGATTGTGTCACTGAAGAACATTTATATTTGGCTTTTTCTCATCAGTACAGAGAGAGTATCTTTCCTCTTCATACATCTATCTCCCTGTTTTTGCTATCCTACTGTGACTGCAAATTATTTAAAATTTTCTTAGTGCCGACTGGCAAAGATGTGGGTGATCAATGTGTGACGAAAAACCTCCCTGGCGATCTTGAGGTGCATTTAATCTCCAGGTGTCAGCTTCCAGAGGTTGTGCAGAGCTGCAGTTTACCTGCAGTTGTTGTGAAAGATGGCAAATTCTGCCGAGCTGGGCTTTCTGTTGTCTTAAGGCATATAATACAGAAAACATACGAGGCAGATCCATCTAAAAAGGATGTTTTGGAACTCTTGGGCTTTAAGAAGACTTGCTTAAAAGCTTGTGCTGAAGTGAGTGCCTTTCTTTCTCTTAGATACATTAAAATTTTTTTTTATTAGCATTAAGTACTCTGAAGTAGACTCTTAATATTGATGTAAACTAACTTCTCTTAGTGAGAAATTAAATTTGCTTAGAAAATGAAATTTCCTTAATGGAGAAATATCTGTACTTTGGCATAAAGATGAAAATAATTATTTTTGAAGATACTACTTACCAGCACAAAACCCCCTTAAAATTCAAAAAGTATGTTAGATCTCTGTTTCATGACTAGCAGTATAAATGAGTTCAAAAGTTTGAAGTAAACTAAAAACTATCTAATTTATTTTTAATTTTGATTTCAAGAGCACCATAATACTGTTAGCCTTCACTGCCAGGGTGCACAGCTGGCTTATGTTTAGCTTATCCTCGTCAGGTTGTCCACTGACTTTTCAGCAGAGTGGCTAACGTGGCCAGGCAGCCAGTCCCTAGCCTGTACCATTCCAGGAGTTTGGTCCCTCCTAGGTGTGGAATATTCTATTCCTGTCAGCCCATTCTCTAGCCTGTGCAGGCCCATGTGAATAGCAGCTCTTTAGTTTGTTGACTGCTCTGCTCAACTCACTGTTGTCCTTGATGTGAGTGTAATCCATCACCCCCCTCCAGGTAAAGATGATCAAATAGGATGGGCCCCAGCATAGACCCTTAAAGATTTCCACTGCTAACTGACCTTCAGGTAGCATGTGAACCATTAACCAACACTACCCTTTGAGCTGAGATTTCAGTCTATTTATCACATAGCAGTTTACTCATCTGACAGCTCATCCATCTAGACTTGCCTTCCTCACTCTCTCAGGAGGCTGAGCTCCAGCCTGTCAGGATTGCTACATCCATGGTTGCCACTGATTACTGTGTCTCCAACCTGGTTCATCCCTGTTGGTGTGTAGCAGATCTGGAGGAGCACATCTCTGTGTTAGTGCACACAGTGCTAGTGTAAAGAAGTTGTCCCTGACATCCTCCATAAACCTCTGTAATCTTTTGGAACTGCTGGAGAGCTTCATTCTGTATTTCAGAGGGCTGCAAAGTGAGTGAACTGAATAAGAAAAGAGTTTAAAAACTGTAAAACCTTTAAGTACAGGTAATAAGAAAAAGAGGACAAGGATAACAGCGTCAAAAAAAATAAGTAATTTTTTTTAAGTGCTGTTCAGTTAGGCAAAAGTTTTTTTTGATGTTGCATATTAAAACCCCACTAATAATATAATGCATTTCTGAAAATAAATGTGCTCAAAATCTGTTTGGTGTAATTGGATCTTATTACCACCATTTGGTAGAGATTGATCACAGCTTTGCTTGTCATGAGTTATGCAGCCACCCTAATATTACATCAATAATAAGGAATAAAAATATGCTATACTGGATAACTGTTCATTCTGTTATATATAAGGTTTAGCTTCCTTATTCTGCTGTAGCAAAAGTAATAGAGAATATCTGAGTTTCTAAGATTAACAAAGAAATCTGGAATTTCTTTCCTTAAAGTGAACAAAAATCTATCCTGGATTTTGTTTCTCTTTCTGTAGAGACATTAATTACATAAATTTATTTGACAGGTTAGCCAGTGGACCAGACTTTGTGAGATCAGCATTCCTCTGGCTGTGGAAAGGTTTTTGACGGCATCTCCTGAGCGCTGTCAGGCTATTCCTCCTGACATTTTACAGTTTGAAAGGAAGCTTGGAGAACCTGTCCGAGTACATAATGATGACAAAATTCGTAGGCAAAAACTTCAACAGCAGAAGGCAGGTGCCAAGGCTGCAGTGCCCATACTTGGTGAAGAAGCAGAAAGGGAATTAAAAGCAGGGGAAGTGCATGAGCATCCACCCCCAAGTTTGGAACTGAGTGTAGCTTTCTCCAAGCTACTTGTCCAGGAAGCATCAGATGCAGTCAACAGAGAGGCCTCCCACATCAGGAGAACAAAAACTTCTGACCTTCCGCTCTTGGACCACATCTTTGCAGAAGGGCTTTATTTTACTGTGGCAGATATAGTGCTATTGCCATGCATCCATCAGTTCTTGGTAAGATGACAAATTCTGCAAATATTAACTAGTGTGTATGTTTTTTAAGAACTCGAAAGTTGTAAAATATGTTATTTAAAATGTATTATGGCATTTACAGTGTGACCTTTACCCAAAACAGAGGATATGTCTTTGTTTTTGTACAAACACAAAAAACAGGGATTAGTGAGATTACTTAGTAAACACCATTAACTGTTAAAATATTATACTGAAATATTTTGGTACCAAGTTGCCCAGAAAATAGTAATTTTAGAATACTGGTACAAGTGACTTGAGCTCAACTTCAAAACCAATTCTAGAGTGGGAAAAACTTCTGTGGCAAGACTGTGCAAGAATCTTGCTCAGCACAATCTGTGTACTTAGTTTTATAAGGATATACACAGGAATGATTTAAGGAAATGACAGCTATGTCTTTATTTCCCATTACAATGAAATGATACAGTGAATTTGCCTGCTACCAGCATTCCTGCAGTTATGCTATGAGATTTGTAGCTACACTGGTGTCTCTTGCCAGGAAGAGCTCTGAGTGAGGTTGGTATTGACATTTTGATTTTGCAAGTTGCTTTGCCAAATTTGCCTTATGGTGTTTGAAAACAAAGGGAATTCCTGGAGAAGATGCTGCTAGTCAGATTGAGAGAAACAATCTCTAAAATCAAGATAGGGACTATCAAACATTAATAATGTGATAAACATCCACTTTATAACTTCTTTAGCCAATATCATAATCCTCAGTGGATTGATGATAGCAATATTGGAGTCCAGAAGTAGGTTAATATGACTGCCTCTGAATTAGGATGATGAATTATTTTACAGAAATGGTTCTTAATTCACCTCTGCTTTGTTTGTTTTGTGAATCACGTAACTGAAGATGAACGGCAACTTCTGCATGGATGATACTAAACAAAAGTATTAAGACAAAATGCTTTTCTACTATTTAAAAATCTTTGAAGTATTTCCATCTTTGTTTTTCCAAGACTTTTTTAAATAAGAAGACCATAACTTTTTATAGTAATTTTTTAATTTACTGATGCTGGGCATGAGAAGATTTTTGGATCAGATGCTTAATTGATTTCAGCAATGCAATTGAGATTGTTCTGTAGATGTGCTGTGAGCAGCTGAGAATGATGTATTTATTTACTTTGTATGTGTGACCCTTAAGCCCTGCTCAGTAGCTTATGAACTATATATTTTATAATACACTTGTGTAGATCATGCCAAGGATTGCCCTAAAAACCTGGCTTTCAGTTTCATTTTTATCTGAATTACAAGAGCTCTCAGGTAATGTTACTTTATTTCTCTTCTCTGATAAGTGATCATTTTCTAAGAAATTATACCTTGATTCCTACAGTTATCATTGAAATTGAATAACATGCATCTGAAAGCTTCTTGCAAGCAGTGAGTTGAAATTGCTCTCGATGGAAGTGCCAGAGTTTAATTCCATATTAAAGTGTTATTTGTCACTTGTATAGCTGGACTTCCTGGATTGTGTTTAAAGAAATCACAATAGTTGCATTTCCATTGATTTAAAGGTGTGAATAATAATGAAGTCTTCAGTGAGTGTGTGTCTGGAAAGTAACACACCATAAATGTGAGCGGACTTGACTAGCTGATTGTAGTTATAATTACCAAAAGTAAGATAATGAAGCTGAAGAGTTGTTTTTCATTACCTCGTTCCAATTCAGTTATCTTCCTAAGGTTAGCTTTGGTACACTTTCTATTAGTTGTAACTGTTGAAAATTAATAAAAATGTAACAGAAACTCAGTTCTTCATCTGGCAGACACCACTCTTCAGTTTTTAAAATACAATTTAGAACACTTGATAACAAGTGTAACAATGCCTCTTAGAATTGCTTTCCAAAAGACTTCTTCCTTAACTGAATTATTGTATCTTTGCCTGTGTTACTATTAGGGTATTAAATTAGATGCTAAAATCACACAGTTCATCCTTCCTTTGCTCCTTTAGCTATTGCTAATTACTTTTGATTATCCTAAGCATGTTATAAACACAGCATGCAAGAGAGCTGCTTGAAATTTCACGTCATTTCAAGTGTTCTTTACCAATTTCTACTTCCATACTGCGGACAGGTACGTGGAAGAATGCTGGTTTTGCGTGGCCTTTTCTGCCTTTTCCTGTAATCGTGATTTTTAATTTTATGTTTAAAGCAGGCACACCATCACAAAGTAGTTCAGCTTGGAATAATTAAGCTCATCTTGTCTAACCCCCCTGCTTAAAGAAGGGTCAGCTAGAGCCCAGGATCATGTCCAGTCATGTTTTGAGTGTGTTTCGAAGGATGGAGACTTCACAACCTCTCCTGTTAAGAGGACGATCTTCACTGTTTTGAAAAATTTGGGAATCTAAAGAAAGTGATTTAATTTCATCAAATGCATCCTTTTTAAAAGTAACTGGACTTCATGTAAATTGTGATGTGGTGTAATTTTTTTAATATGTGCAACATATTCTTACTAAAGAAATTTTTTATTTTATTTTTTACACTTAAAATTCTAATTTCTATTAAAGGCCACATCAACTCATAATCATATACACTTAATTCACAAAAGAAATATACTGGTTACCATTATTGTATAAAATATGTAATTAAGATTGTAAAAAGTCTGAATAAATACATGACTTTAAAAAAAAAGAAATAAATTTGATTCACTACTACTAGAAAAAGTTGCAGATGTAGTGAAAAGACTTTAGTAAAGAAGGAGGATAATGTATGCCTGTTTCTGTTTTACTGTTGCCACATAGTGTAAGGTATTTCAGGCTTGCAGATCCCAGCAAAACAGCTGTTGGTGGATGAGCTTTTAAGAACTTCAGGCTACTTGTGGGAAAGAACAACATTCAGATGGTCTTGCTTAGAGTTCAGTATTCATGGCAAATTACTGCACTGGGTTTTTTTCTCTGACTGCCAACCAAAATGAATCATTCCTATGTTAGGAAATGGCATGCAGTTAAGAACATTATTTAAATTGAGCTTTTTTGTTACTGATTGAAATTATGAATAACATTGGTCATGTAAATCTTTTCATCCTATTAAGCTAACAGGGATTGCAGATAAAGTCTAAATGGCCAACTGGCAATTCCACCTGCAGTTTTATTACCATCATACTATGAATACACAGGCCTGGCATGGAGCTGAGCTCACTTCTGTAGTTCATGCCTTCTAGTGGCTTGTAGGAAGAAACCCTCCCATTTTATTTTTTTAGGTTTCCAGCAAGAAGCAAGGCAGAAACCTGGTAAATTTACCACTGATATCCACTTGGTATCGAAGAGTTCAAGAAGTACCTGGAGTAAAGAAAGCTGCTGGCAAATGCAATATGGAGCTTCTCCAGCTTCCAGAGTTGATGTCTGCTCCAGAGGAACAGGCACAGGACTTCTCTTCAGTTCCTGATGAGTTAGAAGAGGAGAACGAAGACAGTCATTTTATAGGTGGTCCAAGGCCAACTATGACTAAATTAATGGTAATTTAAGCTTTTTAATGAGTTATCTTTAGTAGCAATATTCTGCTTGATTTGTAGTAAGTAAAATTTTATTGGAATTGTAGAAGCTAATTCTGACAGCCTTGAGCAGTTTAATACATCTTACTTTTCTTATATCTGATATGCATTGACTTAGAATTGATTTTACTTTTTCTTTCTTTTCTGATATTTGATCAATTCAGGAATTGAGGAAAGATAGGACTGCTGGAAGCCCTGTCAATAATTCAGAATAATCAAAGTAACTTTTTGTTTACATTTTCATATTGTATTCATCTTTTAAAGATATTCATGTAAAGGATGACAAAAAACCCTGTTGCTTTTATGTTTGACTTCATTATACAACTCTTTCTGTTTGGTTTTTTTTTGCTATTTGTTAGAACTTTGAACATCTGGGAACTCTAATGACTTTTGTTAAAGAAAACTGTCCATCATGTTCCATAACTCTCAGTATTTTTTGCATAGAGGTTGACAGCATTTCCTAAAAAATTAACAGGACTTTCTTGTGAAAATGAGAGAAATACATGATTTGAATCTCATATAATTTGACTTTCATATAATGTAGAGTCATCTGCCTATTTAGTTTCAGTTAGGCTGAAGGTGTTGTTGTTGATCTGATGCCATTAAATTCAGTGAGAATTTTGATACCAACTTTAGTGGTAAAGGATCAGGGTCTTAACTTATTTTTTTCTTAATTTCATGTAGGAAAATGGAATTGAAGCAAAGTTTTTTCCACATCCGTGCCCCAACTGGACCCTAGACTGGACCAGTCTACCATCTGCAGTCAATCCTGGGGAAGGTAAGGGGTTTTATGTACGTGTGCATATTTAACAGTGCCTTCTTCTGGTGAAGCCATTTAACTGTTTCCTAGGAAAATATGTAGATTTTCAACGTGTTTCAGAGCTCTGTGGAACAGGTAAGCAATTTTAAATCTGTTGTAAAATTCAGTCTGTTTCTGACACATGGTGACAGGACTTCCCTCACAGGTCATCAACAGCTGATGACCAAACTGGGAACAAAAAATTGACCTTGAATTCTGAACCATATTTTCCTCCACTGTTTCCTGCTTTCTTAAGCTTTTCTTTATACCTAGAATAGTAAACTACATGATGTTAATGTCATTGGCACAAAAGTTGTACATGGACTGTGTCTCCCAAAGCAGCATGATGATGATGATTTTATTGTGATGAAAATAATAGTAATTAGCAAAGTTTGGTAGCTACATACTGAGTGGCACTTTTCCCTGCCCTATAGGGGCAGTTTGCTTTGCTGGATTGCAGGGCAGTTCTGTTGCCCAAGGGCTGTGGTTCTACAGAAAAAAACCCCCCTGATTTATCACATTTATTGTTTTCATCACTGTTGTGAATATTGAATACCTCTTCCACCATGCTGTAGAATGTCCTCTGAAATGTCTTATCCATGCTGCCAGACAGTAAGAAGTTAGTGAAGAGCTATACATTTACAAAAAATAACTCAAAATTAACTAACTGAATACAATCATGTATTCTTGTCTATGATATAAAAGCTGTAAAAATAAGGTAAAATTTCAAGTTTATTTCCTCTGGTTTGGATCTGTGTGTAGTTCACAAAGCTGTGACAAAACTCACATGTGTACCATTAGTAGATTTATATTTTATAGAAAGTGTCCATCCTTCTAACACTGCTTTCCTCTGACTTTGTCCTGAGAGAAATGTTTACTGGGATGTTGCACACCCCACTTTAGTTATAGATTCTTTCCTTTAGCATGGAAAAAAAAACCAACAAACAAAACCAAACCAAACTTAGATTTGCTTCTGTCTATGTTACATCATGCTTCTTCAGACTTATGTGGATGTTTTGGATTTATTTCTTATGTTAAAATAGCCTTTGTAGTCTGTTGAAATGCTTGGGAAGATTATTTGTCTTGAATTTCTGTGACAAGTTCCAGTATTTTGTCAGAAGTGAATGAACATTTTTGCTCCTTTCCAATGTTCAGGGTTTGGGCTAAAGTTTTAGTTCATACTTTTGTCAAGATCTATTCTGTTTGAAAGAAAATTGTGAAAAAGATGCATAACATACAAAACCACATAATGAATATATATTTGGAAATCTTTTGTTGTGAGGAGGCTCTTGGACTTGGTTAGACTGTGAAGAAAACTCAGCTTCTACTGTTTCCTGCCTGTGTTTCCTGCTTGCTTTCTCTTTTCTTCATGTTTCCTGAAATGGTTACTAATGACATTGATCTATGAAATTGATTTTCAGTACATTTTTTGGGAAGTTTTGCTAGCTTAACAAGGTGCTGAGAGAGAGATTTTGGCTTCCTTCACTCAAGATCACAATAATGCTGATGCCATTTTCTGATTTAGGGAAACTTCAAATGGTTGTCCATTTAGTCTGGAAGCAACAGAGTCACACAGGACAAAAAGACATTTCCTGATATGAAAATTGATTTTACTTTTCAGTTGGATACATCTGCATACTTGCCTCTGCTGTTCTAAGTGCTACTGTTCTCTGTTTCGTAATTCTTTTCCTACTGCAGCCTAATCATTGTTATATCAATTGAATTCTCAATATTTTACTACTAAATCCTACCTGGCATGCTCAGAAAATAGTCACTGGTTCTCTCAGGGTTTTAAACTGGATCTGAGAAATGCAATTCAAGCTTTCAAACAGATTACCCCTGTAACTGGTAAATAAATTTCCTCTTAACTAACGTTGATAGACAAAGTAGAGAATGTTTCAGTTAAAAACTCCCTTTTTTTTTAATCCACAGTAAATTTAATTTGCCAGCGAATCTTAATTTAATAGCATGCGTGGTATACTTTCTTTGCTCACAATTTGTGTTATATGTATGTAGAAGTTCTGGGATTGAATGATTTACTCTGTAAGTCTAATTAGACCACCTTGCTGTCACAGCTATTTACTACAGAAAAGAATTACAGATGATTGCAGTTTTAACGTATTATTTAGATTATACATTTAAGATGGTTCAGTTTTTTTGATGAGGATTATTTACTGTTCCAAACCTAAAGATTTTCACATCATGACTTGCATTTCATTTGCTTAGTCATATTTCTGAAACAGAATGAGATAGAATAGAATAGACTATTTCAGTTTGAAGGGACCTGTAATGATTGCCAAGGCCAACTGCCATACCACGTCAGGGCTGATCAAGTTAAATTAGGTGGTTGTTAAGGCATTGCCCAAATGCCTCTTAAACTGGCAGGCCTGAGGCATCACCACCTCTCTAGGAAGCCTCTTTCTTTCTTTGACCACCCTCTCAGTAATGAAATGCTTCCTAATGTCCAGTCTATACCTTCCTTGGTGCAGCTTTGAACCACTTCCATGTACAAACCTCTGTTAGTTCTAGTCCTGATCCAGTTTATAAAAGGTATGTGATTGACCAAAGTGGAGTCATGTTTACATTTTAGATATCCGCCAACTTTTTAAATTTCTGCTGTTACTTCCAAAATGTATGGCTTGTACAGTTGTGTGTATTGAGACATGAATCTATGAGCATCTGGACTGTATTTGAAAGAATATATCCCGTTGTATGGTATCTTCATGCCTTCTGTAACTGTTGATGTTCTAGGATATTGTAGTCGTTGAGTCGTTCTTACAAACTTTCCCATTTTAAAGGAATCTAACACAAAATATTTCATCTATTTAAAAATGTATTGTAAATGCTGTTTTCTCTTCTAGTTGACTGCATAAAAAACTTGGCCAGTACTTTATTTTTCCAAATCTATGTTTAGGTCAGAAATATGTTGTTATTGTTTATTAAATAGAGAAGTCAAAATGCCTCAGCACTTTGTTGTTTCTTCCAAATCACGTAGTGTGTAAAGACTTATCCCCAAGCACACAAATCAAGTCTGTCTGGCTAAATATATATCTTGATATTGAAAAAATAATTTGTGTAAAATCTCAAAAGAATTTCTAAATTATGTTAGAGGCAAATACTTGTATGCCATTAATATATTTATTGAAATACTTCCTTGCAAAAAATACTTCAGTTGACAGTAGGCACAATCCAAAAGTTCTAACCAAACTCAGTACTTGGTTGTGTTGAGTTTTCCATAGAAGTAAAGGTACATGTTGTTGTCAATATGTACAAACAATAAAAAGAGGGTGGCAGGTCAGAATATGTAAATATAGGTGGTCACAGGAAAGGAGGGAAAGAGAGACAGAGAAAATGAGACAGAAGGAAAATGAGATACATCAGTACAAGGAAATAATTGCACGATGTATGTCGTTATAGAAAGTGTTTTCACCTTTTTCCCTGGCAAGGCAGTGGCTGAAATTTTGGGAAGAGGTGCTTGTTGAAATAATAATGAATGGAAACAGTGTGCTACTGCTGATTAAATGTGACGTCTGGGAAAGAGGGGATTATATTTAATTAGATTTGTGAGCAGTAAAGAAATGCAACATCTTTTCTGTGGTTTCACAGGCAGCAGTAGAAAGAGGGTTTTTAATCCTTTTTGTAACTTCAGTCTTCACTTGTGTTCCTGGTCCTAAGTGTTTGAAATCATTCATTGTCTTCAGGTTAGTTTCCTACCAGCTGCAAAGACTTTATGGATATTAAGATCAGTTTGGCTGGTTATGATTAGGGGTGCTTCCTTTAGGCTCACCCAAAGCACATTAAAGGGGGTGGGAAAGTGTGTCAGTGTGGGGTTGGACAGTGATAACCCTTGTCACTGCATTATTATTCTGATGATATATAGACTCTTTGGTACTGTCATGTTTTTTCATCAAACATTGTGTTCATTGTGAAACAAAGAAGAAAGATTTTTTTTTCCACAGGAATCTATTTTTTTCTCTAAAACAGCTTTTTATTTACCGATGTGAAATTCAAGAATGAGAAATAACTGTCCCTCAGTTTCACAAACCCTTACTTCTTTTCTCACGAGTTGAAGTACTTGTTAAGCAGTTTATGTTTTTCATTTATAGTATCTCGTTCTGAAATTAACCACGTAGACTGACAGTATGCATGTGGTGCTGTTTACTTATGAAGGTAGTGGTTAATTGTGAACAAATTTATGCTATTCTTTCCAAAGAAACTGCTCACAGAATGAATGTGGCAAGTAGGAAACTACATTCTGTGAGCTTGTAGATGATGCTCTCTTCCTCATGAAAATATTTTTTTCTTAATGAAGGCATTTAGTAGGTCAGAAAAAGATCTCCTTAGCTGAACTATGACTTACTGTCAGGTGAAACTGGAAAGACCACTGTGCTTGCACAGTAGGAGATAGAGGGGTCAGTTACAAAATGTGTGAAGACTTTGAGGTGAAGGAAGTCTGTTTAAAAAACTGTAGGCAGATAAATAAAGTTAGATCAAAATAAGTGATTGCATTTTACTAATGCAGCTTGCTCTTATCAATCAATGGAACACATGTAGCCCTTTTACTTTATGGTTTTAAACAAATTCAATGGTTTGTATATAAATACAGTTCCCAGTGAATCATGTCAAGTATATAACACGCTTCAGTATTTTTAGTGTGAAATGGATTCCTAGTATTGAATTGACTGGGACAAGTGTTTTGACTTGTGGAGGTGAAATTTTCTATGTACAAATTTTAAAAAGCCCATATGGAAGATGGAAAGGCCTTACATGTTCTGTGTCCAGCACATAGGAAAGGGTGTTAATCCACTGCAAGGCAATGCATCCTTGCCTAGCTGAAGACAGAATGACTCTGATCAAGTTTGTTTGATTTATCCTTGCTTTGTGATCAGCAGCAAGTTGATGGCCAAATTAAATTGCTGTGTAAAGCTGTCACAGAAAGGTTGACCTGAATAAAATGATACCCTGACTGATGCATGCCC